AAGTCTGATGGGAAGCAAGAAGAAATCCGTATGAGGACATCTGCTGTGGGTTCTAAAGAACACATAACAGAGTAAGGCTGTCTACTGTGTTGAGAGGTGATGGGGGAAAGATAAATAATATTTCACATTCCCAGAAGCCATCCCAATTATCTCTCAGAGTCTTCCTCCTGAGATCTGCCCTATGTTTAGACAGACCAATAAAAATTTTGGATTCCCGACTAGAATGCCACAGACATCACGACAACCTGGTGGAAAGATCACTGGTCTACAGGTCAGACACCAGCTCCATCACTAGACAGTGTAAGACCTTGAGCAGAGTATTAGTCTGTGCCTCCATTTTCACATCTATAAACTGAAAATCTGTAGAGGGGCTTCACTGGTGGCTCAGTGGCAAAAAATTCAAGTTCCCAGTGCTGGGAGCCCAGGTTTGATTCTTTGTCAGAGAACTAGATGCCACATGCTGCAACTAAGAGTCAGCATAGCCAAATAAAAAAAGAAACAGACATTTCTGTGTATCCAATGAGAAAATTCCAAATATTGAATGTTTTCCATCTATAAGACACTTGGTCCTAAACAACCTCCCCACTTGTGACACTGAGACAACTTGTACAAAAGTGAACTGTACGGTCCTTAGCAGAAATTCAGCTACAGAAGCAATTGATCTGCAGTGCTGATTGGTGGAGTAAACAGAGCAACGAACCTGGGCCAGAAGCCCTGACTTCACTCTGCCTCTAACTCGCCGCAGGACTCTGAAGAACTCATTCAAGCTCTCTGGCCCCCGTGTCCTCAATTTGTCATGAGCAGAGTGGCCGATGATCACCCAGATCCAAAAGTGTGTAAATAAAATATCCTCTAATGGAGGCCTTTGCACAAACATTAAGAACAATGAACTTACCACAGTGTACAAGGCCCTGCACAAGTGGCGTCTCTGTACTCACTTCACTCCGGCTGTGCCAATATTCTTTCCTCAGTCACACACACACACACACCAGGATCTGTGCCCTGTGCCCTCACACACACTCTCTCACATATGTCCCCACCCCCACAGGCACTCACACTCACACCTGCACACACGCCCACTCCCCACTAGGTTTTCTCAGGTTGGCTTTATTTTTTTTTTTTCTTTTTTTTTCTCAGGTTGGCTTTAATGTTGGCTGTTCACCCTCTTAGAGTCAGACCCTCTCTTAGTATTCTCCACTCCAGAACCCAGTTTTGTTTCTTTATGACACAATTTAAAATCATTTCATATGTTTATAAATTTCTTTCTTAGTAGACGCTATGCTCCATAAGGCAAAGATTAAATGTTTATTCACCTTTATGTCTTATCTCCAGCATTTAGCACTGTGTTTGGCACCTCAGAGGTGTTCAATAATTAATATGATTCCAGACCTTGTCCCCAACAGCTGATTCACTTCTCTATGACCATAGAAAGAGGACAGCAAATTCAAATACAAATGCATATAATAGCATGCATTGCTCTTTTGGAAAATATTAATTCATTGAGCTATGTAGATTTTCCAAATTCTGACACATTCATTGCAAAATATTTTTTAAAATACATTTATTAATATCACTACCATCTAATTGGGAAAGTCCTTAAGTGTTGGGAAGATGTCAAGCTTGTGAGAACAGATACAAGTGTTTCCAAAATTCTAATTTTATGGTTAGCAACAAACATTGTCAGTTGTTTTCTCTAAAGTGACAGGCTCACTTCATTCATATTTGAGAAAGTGTCATTAAATACCAAAGTCTGAATAATCATATTTTGTCTGTCAGAATTCTTTTTTTCTTAATTAATTTTACTGCAGTATAGTTGATTTACAACGTTGTGTTAGCTTCCTGTTTAGTCGCTCAGTCATATCTGACTCTTTGCAACCCCATGGACTGCAGCACGCCAGACTTCCCTGTCCTTCACTATCTCCCAGAGTTTGCACACACTCATGTCTATTGAATCAGTAATGCCATCCAACCAACTCATCCTCTGTCGCTGCTAACACATAGCAAAAATGAATCAGCATTCTTTCAAATAAAAATAGTATTCCATGAAAGAGAGAGATCAATTAGCAACTCAAACAATTACACTAGTGTTTTTCCTCAAAGCAACCACTGTACTTTAATGTGCAACCAGCATGTTTCAGACATACATTGCACACTTCCCACATCACAGAGAATATTAAGAAGGCATTTACTACCAGGTAAAAATGTGTTAATTTTTTTAAAATTTGTCTGTTTCTGCTGTCTCATCAAAGACATTCTTCATTGAAACTGATTTTCTCTTCTGAGAGTGTCTGACAATGAAGAATACAGTGACTATTAGTACAGTCTGGTGCTATTGCATTGATTTGTGCTAAGACACCAGCAGTTTTCCCCATCATTGCCTTTGTGACATTAGTGAAAATGTTAACACACAGGTATAGAAACAAGCAACATCTTAGCCCTTATTATGAAAATTAATTTAATCTCACAGACCCCTGAAAAGTTTTCAGGAACACCCAGGAGTCCACCAACCACACTTTGAGAATTACTGGCTTACAACATTGCAAAGGCTCACTCACAACTGGAATAAATTAAACATTTTTCCAAGAGTATGAATAGGTAGCCTTAATTTACAATTTTTTTAATTTATACTTATGGGACTCCCCTGGGGGCACATGAAAAGAAACTCAACATTAGTCATTAGTCATTACAGAAATGCAAGTCAAGACCACAATTAGAAACTTCTTCACACTCACTAGAATAGCAATTGTAAAGAAATAATACTAATAGCAAATATTGACAATAGTTTAGAAACTTGGAATCTTCATACATTGTTAATGCAATATAAAATGATTCAGCCATTTTAAAAAATAGAAGTTCTTCAAGATGCTAAACATAGCTAAAATATGACATAGTCATCCCACTCAGGTTTATGCCCACCCCCAAAATGAAAACATATGTCCATACAAAAACTTGTACATAAATGCTCACAGTAGCATTATTCATAATAGGTAAAAAGTAGAAACAACAAAAAGTATATAAGCTGCTGAATTGGCAAATAAAATATATTTCCATGTGATGGAATATTATTTGACAATAAAAGAATAAAAAGCATCATGCTAAGTGAAAGAAGTCAGTCACAGAAGACCACATATTGTGCGTTTCCATTTATATGAAATGTGCAAAATAGGCAAGTCTAAGAAGCCAGATATTAGATTAGAGGTTGTCTAGGGCAGGGAAGTCAGGGAAAGGAGGGTAATGCAGAGTGACTGCTAATGGCTATGAGACTTCCTTGGGGAATGATAAGTGTTCTAGAATCAGATTACGATGATGGTTGCACAACTCAAACAGCTTAAAAGCCAGTGAATGATACACTTCAAATGAGTGAACTTGATAGTATATAAATTATATCTCAAAAGCTGTTAAAAATCATCATGAGATATTTCCGTGGTGATCCAGTGCTTAGGAGCCCCCGCTGCCAATGCAGGGGGCAGGGGTTCCTGCCTGGTCTGGGAAGATCCCACATGCCACGAGATAACTAACTCGTGCCCGACAGCTACTGAGCCTTCACTGTAGGGCCTGTACTCCACAACAAGAGAAGCCACTGCAAAGAGAAGCTCCCGCACCACAGAGGAGCCCCTGCTCACTGCAACTAGAGAAAGCCCACGCACAGTCAAAAATAAAATAAATAAATATCTTTTAAACATTACCATGTGTTGAGGGAGGGTAAGCATATTCACATAAAAAGAAACAGAACTATCAATGTTTCCTTTAGGAAATTTTCAGTAGCTATAGCCAATTAAAATTTGACTTTTAAAAAAGTCCACATTAAAATTATTCACCAAAGCCAGAAGCAGAGTATCCCACTATTTTACTGAAAATGATTCATCTCTGATGCACCAGTGATAGCTGAGAAAAGGAAACACAGGGGTCTCAGTGGGGTTTCCTTCCAAGGTCATGTGATTTCTGAAAAAGCAAGCTCTGAGTTTGAAAGCCTCAGGGTGTTAACGCTGGGGATGGCTGGTTAACAGCAAACACCCTGATCGAACACATTACTATTTATGTAGTATAATAAAGACCACATCCTCAGCTCAGAAAAAGAGCTGATGACATTTCTAATAGAAAGCATACCGAATACTGTTCCTTCAGAGACTGAGAATGATCCTTCTTAGAGATAAGTTGTTCTCCAATATTGGAACAAAATAGCAATGTCTGACTCCCATTTTCCTTTCTTAGCTAAATCCAGAAAGAAGGAAGGGAGGAAAGAAAGGAAGGAGGGAGAAAGGAAGGGAAGGAGGAAGGGAGGAGAAATTCAGATACTCTCACATGTCTAAAGTTGTAAAATCAAACCATCAGGGGAAGCACAATCAGAGGCTGGCCTGGAAAGAACCAGTGCTCCCTAACCCCACCAGCCTCTGTCCCCACCTGCCAGATTCCAGATAGGGGCACAACAAATTACCTCCACAAAGTGGAGAAGGAAAATCCAGGCAGTAGCTTATGAACAAATAAGATTCCCTCCTACATTTCCATGTGTCCTTGGCTGATTCATTCTTGCAAAATCCTAGGCAATGACTAAAAAGACATTTGGCTAGTGACCAATTTTTAGGCAACCAATTTTAAATCTCTGATTAAAGTCTATAAAGAGCTTTCATTTATGCTAGGTAATGGATAGAGAAGATAATGCTGCTGATGATGAAAACTAGAATGCTCAAAACCTCAGCTGAAACATTTGAGGTCTCTTGTATACTATCTTCTGATGGCAACAAGGTCCCATAGTCCCCGCCTGCCATGGATTTACAACCCTCTCCCAGCAGAGGTCCTTGCCGAGGGGGGAACACCCATTGGTGAGGAGTGGTAACTCACCTTTCTCACTTGTGGGGTTTCTTTCCCTAATGCCTAACTTTGAAATTGGAAAGAAAGAAAAGAAAGGAAACCACATCCTTTGTACTGTCAGTATATAAATAAGAGCTAGTCAAGAACTGAAAACAGATTTCACATTGATTGATGTGGGGACACCAGCCACAATGAGGAACTCCTCTACCTTTCTGGCAGCCACTCTCTCGATTGTCGTTTTTCTCCTAATTCCTGAAGGTAAGACTGATCCTTGTAATTTCCACTATAATAAATTGAGTAAAATGGAGTAGACTTTTGGGCAATATTAATTAAGTGTTCTAAGAGGAGACTTTTTTTCTGCACGTCTTAACATTCTTCCTTGGATTCTACATTTATCTTTTTTCAAAATTTTTATTCATTCTTTTACTTGGTTGCACTGGATCTTGGTTACGACATGTGGGATCTTAGTTCCCAGACCAGGGATTGAACCCGTTCCCCTGCATTGGGAGCACAGAATCTTAACCACTGGGGCACCTGGGCAGTCCTTCCACATATATCTTTATTTTAGAAGGAAAAATCCTCCTTTCTTCTTTACAATTCCTTTATTAAAAGATAATGGAACCACCAGTGCTGCCAATTTGTGGCTTGAAAATTGCCCAAAAGGACACTGTAAAAACAAGTAATCAAACAGACATAAAGCTCTTAAATTAGGAAAACAAATAGCAGCTTTCAGGAAAGGAATAGTGACACCTCAGCCTTTCTTGCTGCAGAAAATGCATAGATAGTTTTAACGACAAAATCAACTGTACTTCAATAATCCATCAGTCTTAAAAAAAAAAAAACCTGACCTAGATGTACCCCCCAAGTCAAAATGATTCAAATATTCATCATTTTTTCTCTAGGCTAGTATGTCCTTGGGAATACATTAGGACACTGGGAGCTCTTTGGCAGTGCTATAGTGTTTTGTATTAAGTATATTCTTTGATGCACTAAGTAGTAACCAACTAGCCTGATTTTATGTGAGCTGCACAGGCATTAGTTTAAAATGCTGTAAAAGTCATGGGATTCTCTCTAGAAGGGTAATAGGGCATAGCCCTGGGTACAATAGCCCTGAGTAGCTCTAGATATTCCTTAAAATCTTTCTAGGCACTAATAACGACTCTGGGGCTAGGCCGAACTGTGCCAACAAGTGTAGAGCTTGGGTTTTCTCCATGGTCTGGCAGTTTTTGGAGGTAGAAATGGTGGACAAGGGCTGATGCAACCTATCTTACCAAAAATTCCAGAGGAAGATCTCTGGTTTATCTTGCACCTAAAAATAAGGAGAAATTTTAGAAATAATAAGGTTGTAGGACATTAGAAACAGAAGAATGGACAGAGTACTATTAATATAAGCATGGGCTTCCCTTGCAGCTAGGACGCTAAAGAATCTGCCTGCAGTGCAAGAGACCTGGGTTCGCTCCCTGGGTTGGGAAGATCCCTTGGAGGAGGGCATGACAACCCACACCAATATTCTTGCCTGAAGAATCCCCATGGACAGAGGAGCCTGGCAGGCTACAGACCATGGGTTCACAAAGAGTTGGACACGACTGAGCAACTAAGCAGCAGCAAAATATAAGCATGTTCCAACAACTATGTTAGAGCATGTTATTGTTGTTGTTTAGTCACTAAGTCATGTATAACTCTTTTGTGAACCCAAGGATTATCACCCACCAGGCTCCTCTGTCCATGGGATTTCCCAGGCAAGGATATTGGAGTGGGATGCCATTTTCTTCTCCCGGGGATCTTCCCGACCCAGGAATCGAATCCAAGTCTCCTGCATGCAGGCAGATGGGCTGAACCACTGGGGAAGCCCATGTCCTATGAAACACTGAAACCAAGCAGATTAAAAAGAAATCCAATCATATCTTTTCTTCAAAGGAAACAGCAAACGCAAATTACTCTGTTTCCTTCAGTCAGAGAGAGTAGTATGGGTCCCCAAATGGAACAGACACAGCAAAGCAAGATTTGATCCTCTAGACAGGTTGTCTCAATGTTTCTACACATTAGAATCCTCTGGAGGCTTTGAAATAATACTGACATCTCAGCCCTAGTCCTATTTGATTTTAATTTATTTTGATTCTAGGTGGGAACCAAGAATTGCTAGTTTTTAAAGCTTTTCACCTGTTCTAATTCCTCTTCCCAAATCCTAGTTTGTGGGAGATAGGGACTTTTTTCTGTGCTCACCAATCACAGGACTCTGCAAAATGAAGTATTGTACTGAGTTTACAATTTCTACAGCTCAGAAAGTCCAAAGATGCATCTTTGGAATCTATCTCTTCACGATATCCATCAGGAAAACTGAGATGTAGGTGAAGTTCTATTTGTTTCTCTAAGTTCCTTATCCTTTTACTTCTAGAACCTAGGATTTCCCCTTCCCAACTCCCTTCTGGAAAATGAGAGCCCTTCTGGACACCCATTTTCCCTATCCCGCTCATCATTTACATCTCATTGTAAATCTGGCAATGAGTTGGCTTTAATAATAGAGCAACAGGCACTGTGCCCTATTGAGAGAACCATGAATCCTAGTCAATGCTCAGGAGCAATGCTTGAGAAGAATCCAAGAACATCTGGTGCAGGAACGTGGCGCTGAGAGTATATCAAGAGGGCACAACATCCTTTCAACCAACAGGGATGGTTTGCCTTCTGCTGCCATCTCAGTTCGGTTCAGTTCAGTTCCGTTCAGTCACTCAGTCATGTCCGACTCTTCGCGACCCCATGAACTGCAGCATGCCAGGCCTCCCTGTCCACCACCAACTGCCAGAATCTACCCAAACCCATGTCCATTGAGTTGGTGATACCATCCAACCATCTCATCTTCTGTTGTCACCTTTTCCTCCTGCCCTCAATCTTTCCCAGAATCAGGGTCTTTTCAAATGAGTCAGCTCTTCACATCAGGTGGCCAAAGTACTGGAGTTTCAGCTTCAGCATCAGTCCTTCCAGTGAACACCCAGGATTGATCTCCTTTAGTATGGACTGGTCGGATCTCCCTGCAGTCCAAGGAATTCTCAAGAGTCTTCTCCAACACCACAGTTCAAAAGCATCAATTCTTTGGCACTCAGCTTTTTTTACAGTCCAACTCTTACATCCATACATGACCACTGGAAAAACCATAGCCTTGACTAGACAGACGTTTGTTGACAAAGTAATGTCTCTGCTCTTTAATATGCTGTCTAGGTTGGTCATAACTTTCCTTCCAAGCAGTAAGAGTCTTTTAATTTCATGGCTGCAATCACCATCTGCAGTGATTTTGGGCTTCCATCTCACTCTTCCCTAATAATAAGTCTCTACTCTTGGTCTATCACCAAGGAAATTTGGCTAAGGCAGAATTCTCTCCTTATAGCATTTTCTCACTTCTCTTCATTAGAGAAGGGCTTAAATTAAACCAAGTGGTTCAGTCTGGAGATTGAGGAAGAGTTTCAGGTGCAAAAGATTGTCTCTCAGTTTATGAAGGCTGCTGCTGCTAAGTCACGTCAGTCGTGTCCGACTCTGTGCGACCCCATAGATGGCAACCCACCAGGCTCCCATCCCTGGGATTCTCCAGGCAAGAATACTAAATGAGAAGGGTGCAAATTTCAATAAGCAAAAGACTCATGATGACCAAAAAACTCATGGGTAGGGTTACAGCTAAAAGGTGTTAATGCCAGTTTGTAAGCTGTGGTGTTTTGCAAGAGCTCAGAGTGAAAAGGGCGGTTTTCAAGCTTGTAAAAGCAACTCTGCTTCCCCCAGATTAATACTTAGCCAGAAAAGGGGAGGGATGGACAGACACCAGCAGTTCCTGTAGCACCAGTTACTGGTATAAACTCATGCACAGTGGTCTGCCCTTAGCAAGTCCTGAGGGCTGAGGCCAGTGGTTGTGACATATTTCCAGCCTGATAATCCCTGGACCTGCCAATGGCATGGCTTCCGTGGGTGAAAGAGCAAAACCTCTCAGATTCCAACAGGAATGGGATTTACATTCAGGTATCTGATCTGGGCTTTGCTGGTGGCTCCATGGTAAAGAATCCACCTGCAATGTAGGAGCTGTAGGAGACACGAGTTCGATCCCTGGGTCGAGGATACCCTGGAGGAAGGCATGGCAACCCACTCCAGTATTCTTGCTTGGAGAATCCCGTGGACAAAAGAGCCTGGAAGGCTACAGTCCATAGGGTTGAAAAGAGTTGAACACGACTGAAGAGACTTAGCATGCATGCCCACATCTGAAATTGACATGAAGGGGGTGGAGTATGCTCTCATCCCTCCTCCTCTATATGTGGGAAAAGCATGTCTAGCCTTGCTGCTGCTGCTAAGTCACTTCAGTCGTGTCCGACTCTGTGCGACCCCATAGATAGCAGCTCACCAGGCTCCTCTGTTCCTGGGATTCTCCAGACAAGAATACTGGAGTGGGTTGCCATTTCCTTCTCCAATGCATGTATGCATGCTAACTCACTTCAATCGTGTCTGACTCTGTGCAACCCCATGGACAGCAGCCCACCAGGCTCCTCTGTCCACAGGATTCTCCAGGCAAGAACACTTAGAAACGTGATTATAAGTAGAGCTCTTTAGGGTGGTAACTGATATGACTTGTCTTTGTCTTTTGAATAGATCTCTGTGAAAAAATTATTGGAGGAAATGAAGTGACTCCTCATTCAAGACCCTACATGGTGCTACTTAAGGGGGAAAATATCTGTGCCGGAGCTTTGATTGCCAAAGACTGGGTATTGACTGCAGCTCACTGTGACCTGTATGTTCTTGGGTTAAAAAAAAAAAAAAAATTGTGGAGACAGCCTAACTTGGGGGAATATTAACAAAGAGAGTAAATAGCATTAAAGCCACAGGATCTTCACATCATTTACATCTTTGGCAGCTTGCTTTACCCGCAAAAGGGAGTTGAGGCCAGAGAATCATCCCCAGAGAATCAGACCAGTGAGGAAGCAGCATCCAGAGCACTTTTGGAAGATCTCCTCTGGAGCCACCAGGTTCAAGGGCTGCAAGTCTTGGCTTCTGGTCTTGACCTCATGATGGTGCAGAAGGGAGAAAAACTTCAGTGTCCCCTCAGGGGCCTGAGCACCACTGTCAAGTACAGAAGGCTTCTTTTGAAAACCTTCCTGTTTTCTTAAAACTTCTCACACCTTCAGCCATTTCATAACCACGGTCAACCATGGCCTTCAAACCACTTTCAGGGCTGGTCTTTTCTTTGCCCCTAAATCAAGCCTCTAAACTTGGGCTGTCCATTATGATAGCCACTATCATGATGGTTATGTGAGTTATCTGTAGTTATATACATTTTCATTCATTAAAATTAAGTCAAATGACAAATTTAGATCCTCAGTCTCACTGGCCACATTTCAAGTCCTCGGTAGCCTACATGGGACTCCATATTGGACAGTGCGGACTTATAGAATATTTCATCATCAAAGTATACTCTACTGAAAGCGCTGTTCTAAGGTCTAAGTGAGAGTGGTATCAGCTGTGTGATGGAAAAACAGCAGTGTGAATATATTGTTGGTGTAGTCTGTGCTAAGTTATGAATGATAATGGCCTTCATCATTAATACATCAGAGAGTATCTTGATTTTATTAACCAAAATGAACCTTCAGCATGGAGTAAGAAAAGGAAGATCTGAAGGGGCCCCCCTTTAGACCACCTTTCCCTCAAATACACACACTCAGTGCCATGCACATAGGGTCTTCCATTAAGCAATCTGTTTCTGAAAGTTTGCCCATTTAAGATAAGTTTGTTGTCCTCTTACAAAGATTTCTTCAGTGCATTAGTTCTACAACTATCGAGTGTCTTTTGCTTTTGTTGTTAGACCACTGAGATTTCTGTTTTCCAGTTATCTGCAGCCGGATTCTCTATGACAACTAAAGGAAGGTTGAGGGGACAGCAGTATAAGTCCACCAAAGACCCCAAGACTTGGCTTAGCTACCATGGAATTCTCTGTTTTTGATGTTTATTACCTATTTAATTTTTGGCTGTGCTGGGCCTCGTTGCTGCGAGCAGGCTTTCTCTAGTTGCGGCAAGCAGGAGCTGCTCTCTAGTGCCGTGTGTGGGCTTCTCCCTGCAATAGCTCCTCTTGCTGTGGAGCACAGGCTCTAGGGCCCAAGGACTTCCGTAGTCATGGTGCGCTGGCCCATCCGCCCCGCGGCATGTGGAATCCTCCCAGACCAGGGGTGCAATCCGCGTGCACTGCACTGGCGGGCGGGCTCCAACCACTGGACCAGCGAGGAAGTCCCCCATGGAATTCTCTTATCATCTGATTTTCAATGAACCTAGTTTAGCTTGTTATAAATAAGCTGCAGGCCAGCATGATGATAACGATAATGGTAAATTCATAAACAATTCACTTTTATTCTTTAAAGTACACATGTTTTTTCTGAGTCACAAAGAGGCATTTCCACAGCAAGCACATTTATAGATGGGACAGTGAAACTGATCAGCCCATAATACGCTTAGTTCCTGATTTAAAGAGTAAACCAAATTAACAGTATTGTGTCTGTTTTCAGGAACCGGAAAACCCAGATCATTCTTGGGGCTCACTCAATAACCAAGAAAGAGCCTGAAAAACAGATCAGGTTCATTAAGAAAGAGTTTCCCTATCCGTGCTATGACCAGGACACACGTGAAGGCGATCTTCAGCTTCTAAAGGTACAAACCTTTGATTATACTTTTGACTGATTCAAAAGTCATAGAAGCTCCTACAGTCTGGCTTCTGATATGGAAATCTTTCTCAGTGGCCTGATAACTGTATAAGGGGGTCCCTGGCAGTTGGGCTAGAACTTAAATTTTAACAGTGACATTTTTATTATCTTGTTCTGTTAACTCTTTCTGCTTGCCTTCCAACAGCTGAACAAAAAGGCAACACTTAATAAAAACGTGGCTATCCTTCAGCTCCCAAAAGAGGGCAGTGATGTGAAACCAGGAGCTGCGTGTCGAGTTGCAGGGTGGGGAAAGTTCCGCAATAATTCCCCTCGGTCCGATATTTTGAGAGAAGCCAATGTAACTATCATAGACAGAAGAATCTGCAATGACCAGTCACACTATAATTACAAACCTGTGATTGGGCTGAATATGATTTGTGCCGGAAGCCTCCAAGGTGGAAGAGACTCCTGCGAGGTAAGTAAAACAAGATCCCAAACTTGAGCTGTTGGGTTAAGTCATACAGATATAGTGGGCGTAATGTCATGACTTGCATTGGCTTTTACAGGGTCCTAGTGCTTTCTAAAAGAAGTCTGATAAAACTCCAGTCAAATAAATTAATGTTCTCAGCTCAGATGAGTTGTTCATCAAAAATAACATGTTCACTGCTAGTGCCTGGGTTGAACTACTGCATATTCTTGATTTTATATCAAAAACCACTAAGAAGCAATTTTTTCTCATTTTTCATATTAACATATATAGATCTAAACTGAAAAAAGGTATGTTAACACTCAGGAGAGCTGAAGTCAGGGTTCATCTAGGGCCTTCAGTACCTTTGCCCATCTGAGCACTCCCTAATAATCCCTCTGCCGTTTAGCCAGGTAAGTCTGAAATACCTGCATTTCCAAGACTGACTGAAGATCTTGGAGTAAACTGCATAGCTTCCTAGAGCCAAGCTCGACCTTTGGAAACAACTTCCAAGCACTCCATACCAGAGAACATGCAAGCCTCCCTCTCAGCGTGCCCTGAGAAGGGCTGGGACAGGTCCCTGCTTAAAGATAGGAGCAGAAGAACACTTGACTCCGGTTTCAGCACTGAGCACTGGTCTGGCCCTTCTTGCCTCACCGGGGTGGAACTGTGCTCTCAGAACCTTTCATTTGCAGAACTCCATGTACAAGCCTCAGTGACTCTCCATCCAGCAATACCCGTCATCCCTAAAGCCATAGCAGGAAAACAGCCAACTGGGTCTCTAGACTTTAAATATCTTTAAATGTGCTGATCTAGAGTTCCTTGGGGCTTCCTTTGTGGCTCAGCTGGTGTAGAATCCGCCTGCAATGCGAGAGACCTGAGTTTGATCCCTGGGTTGGGAAACTCCCCTGGAGAAGGGAAAGGCTACCCACTCCAGTATTCTGACCTAGAGAATTCCATGGACTGTATAGTCCATGTGGTCGCAAAGAGTTCCTTGAGAGAATGCAAGGTCACATACTGGGTACTGCAGTCACAAGAATAAAGCATGACTTACAGCTGACTGAAGCCTCCCTCCTGGTGGAACCAGGCAGCTCTGAAGTGTAATCACTGACTTCCAGGAGCATCCATCTAGCATCAGATGCTCAAGAGACTTGGGAGGAAGAGCAAAGAATAGTGCAAATTCCACAAGAAGAGTACTTTTCGTCTATTTTGTTCACTGATCTTGTCCTAGTGTCTAGAAGACTACATGGCACCTGGTAGGTGCTCCATGAATATTGACTAAATGAACAATGTTTGCTAGAGAAGAATGGCGTTTGTGAGAGTTTGAAGGAACTGACCTCCAAGGTCTAATTTTAATGTTCACTGAGCCTATGATAAGGTGATAGACCCAAGCTTTATCATGTAATTTTCTCTTCAATGGTTACTGCATTGATGAAGTTTGAGTTTCATTTTATTTAAGTTTGAGTCTTTCACATTCCATATGCTCTTAAGAGATATTATTGTGTAACTTATTTCATTAAATGTTTCTTTCTCATTTAAAAAAGAGATTCAAGGGAGCAATTTCTGTTTGAGAAGATGAAGAACAAGTTGCTTTGGTTTTGTTCCTTTGAGAAAACAATTAACTCCCAGAAAACATAGCTTTTATTCTTCGCCTCAATGGCCCATCTGCATTTAACCATTTTATGCCTTGAGTTACTCAGCATTTTGAGAAAATGACAAAAAGGAGTTTCTAAAGCAGAGAATCTGTCTCAAAATCACTGGGTTCCACAAATTAATAATTCAAGTTTCATTTCAATTTTCACTGCTTTGTAAAAAAATAGAGAAAAAAATTGACTATATCATTGAATATTCCTCAACATTTTGGTTTTTTAAGCATTCATCATCAAGTAAGTCAAGGTTGGTCTTAACTTCACATTAAATGCTTCACATTGAATGGCATTTCTTCCATGCTGCTAGTGGTCATACTTGATGCTGATCTCCACCATTCCTCTTGTTTTCCCCAAGGGAGATTCTGGAAGCCCTCTGATATGTGAAGGCACTTTCAGAGGCATCACTGCCTTTGGCATGCAGGGGAAATGCGGAGACCCTCGAGGGCCCGGCGTCTATATCCTTCTCTCAAAGAAACACCTCAACTGGATAGTTAAGACTATGAAGCAAGCAGTTTAGATACTTGTATTTCATTTGCTGTCACTTTTTAAAAAATGTTATTGAAATATAGTTGATTTACAATGTTGTATTAGTTTCAGGTGTACAGCAAAGGGAATCAGAGTTACACATATATCCACTCTTTTTTTAAGATTCTTTTCCTATATAGGCCATTACAGGGTATTAAATAAGAGTTCCCTGTGCTACATAGCAAGTTCTTATTAGTTACCTATTTTAAATAAATTGATAGTAGTGTGTATATGTCAGTACCAATCTCTCAATATATCACTCCCCCCATCCCTGATAACCTTAAGTTTGTTTTCTACATCTGTGACTCTACTTTTGTTTCATCAATAAGTTCATTTTACCCTTTTTTTTCAATTCCACATACATGTGATATGTGGATATCATATGATATTTGACCTTTGTGTCTGACTTACTTCACTCAGTATGACAATCTCTAGGTCCATCCATATTGCTGCAAATGACATTACTTTGCTCTTTTTCATGGCTGAGTAATATTCCATTGTGTATATGTACCACATCTTTATTATCCATTCCTCCAATTGACATTTAGGTTGCTTCCATGTCCCGGTTATTTTTAAGTGGTGTTGCAGTGAACATTGGGATGCATCTATCTTTTTGAATTACGGTTTTCTTCAGATATATACCCAGTGCTGTCATTTCTTAATTTCATCATAAATAAAATCAACTTCTATCACTGCACTTGTCTCCTGTAACTTATAGCAGGCAGATATCCACCAGCAAAGTGGAACAGAGTAATATAGAGACCTTGTGGATAATGCAAGGGACAGATCAAGGGACCAGGGTCACCTGTGTCATCCATGTGATAAGTGATATGCAAATTTGACTTGAATTATTCACTTAACTGATTAAATGGTCCAGGCCTAGCAGGAGGAACACTAAGGTCAGTCTGCCTAGTAACAAGTACAGTCAAGGGCCCAGCAATTCTGCAAGAAACAGAAGCAGCCAGTCTGAAGCATTTGGATTAAAAGGAAATATTTTCCCTTCACAGGCCACTGTTCCACATCAACACCTGCTACTCAGATTTATATACAAGAATCTGAGTCCATTGGGAGAAGCAGAAACAGGAAATGCCTTAGAGTATTTTTCAAAGCAGGCAAGAAATGGAAATTAAAATTCTAGGGGATATTAGCAAGGCACTTAGCTAGAGAAAGTCAACCTCCTTTCTCAGTAGTGTGAATTTAAGCCTTGGGTTACTAGGTGATTTCTTGGTTCTCCTTGTCCTTGAGCCTGGGTAGGTACAATCAACATGGTTACGGTGGCTGCCATCTCATACTAGGGAGTGAGTTTTGAATCATGGTCTGAAAGTTTCCTATGGGAGAAAAACCAAGATGTTCATTCAGCATGCTGAACATAGTGGATAGTCATCAGTCCAGTAGCCGCATCAAGATGAGATTATATGAACAGATTCCTTTGATTTCCATCAGCTCATTTTGGACTATAAATCTTATGTGTGTATATGTATGTATACAAATATATACATATATACACATGGTATGTCCAAACTAAGAACACACAGCAACACTAAGAGACAGCTTCTTAAAACAAACAAAGGGTTATAGCTTATAGACTGACCAAAATACTGGTCCACTGGTTTTCAACCATGGCTGCCCATTAGACTTACCAGGCTCTTTAAAATTCCCAATGTCTATGCCTCACTTTTAGAAATTTTTATTTAATTTGATGAGAACCAGGACAGAGTGTTCTTTTTGTAAGTTTCCCCACTGATTTTAGTATGCAGCTGGTGATAAGAACCCTTATATTAGAAAGTGACATCTCATGCTGATATCTAAAAGAGATAAGAGAGTCACTAGGATGATATTTTAGATGCCTGCTATAATCCATAATTAGGATTTTAATTGCAGTAAGAAGATGAAATATTCTCTACTGGCAACATTTATTACAGATTTTGAAGTTTACTTAAAAATAGTTGTGTGAAACTCTTGTTCATTGCTGGTGGAAATGTAAATTGGTAGAGTTTCTTAGGAAAAGTGACAGTGTCTATTAAAACTGAAGACACACATATGCTATGACTTAACAATTCTTACTCTTGGGTATAGACCAAACAGAAATGAGGACTTTTCCCCACCAAATATGTGTTTGAGAATGTCCATATAAACTTTATTATTGAAAGTTAAAATTAAAAATAAATGTCCATCTATAATAAAATAGAAAAACAATTGTTGTATATACAATGGGATATTACACAGCAGTTAAAAGACCAAACTACAGTTACATGCAGCAACAGTAACTACTTCTACAAGTTTAATGTTGAGTAAAAGAAACCAGACTTCACATAAAAGAATACTTACTGTATTATTACATTTATCTGAAGATTGGCAGAAGGCAAAATTAATTCATGGTGACCAAGGTCGGAATAATGGAGGGGTGTTGACTAAGTGACACAAAGAATCTTCTGGTGTAAAAGAAATGTTCACATCTTGATCTAGATGATTTACTCATAGATCTTGATCTTAATCTATTCATAAATTAAATACATTGAGCTATACACTTAAGATTTATATGCTTTATGTGAATTATTACTCAATAAAAATTTTATACTACACAATTTTTGTAGCTAAGGCTTCTGTTTTGTGTATTGTCTGAGTTCATTTTTTTCTTTACTGAAACCATATTCCAGACGTCCATAAAACTAACAGCAGTAAAAGATATATTGCTGTTTTTCTTAAATGAGAACCTTGTTCACATACCAGTATTGAGAGAAGCAATCTTTGGTCCTTTGGTCATGTCATAGTCTCATGAGATTTTTAAGAAAGATGTAACCATATCAGAATGGCGGAGGACACTGGAAATGGTCTCACCATTTTGCTCCTTTCCCTGCTAAACTTTTTCTATAGTTTATACTTGGCTAAATAAGATCAAATGACAGCCATTATCTTAAAAAAGAAGAGTGTGCATTACAGGGATGTATCTTATTTGCACTTTTGGTGACCTAAATTTTGTAAGGTAAGAATTACTAGCACTACCAAGCATATTTTCTGAGTTTAAAAACAGGGGAAAAGAACAGAATACATTGTTAATTTGTCAGGAGAATCCTAACACTCCTTGTATTTACTATTCCACTTTTCAATTATCAAGGCATTTATTTGGTATTATTTATTATTATTTTTTTGAAGAGAGATATTAAAGGAGTGTGTGTGTATTGGTAAAAGCCATTTATGACAAAGTAAAGAAATTAATCAATGTATATTAGTTGACACATGCAAAACATTCCAGAGGGCACTAAACTCCTCAATATAATTTTGTGAAAGAAATAAGCATGCTAAAGTTTAAATAAACAAAATTCCCATACTAATAGAAGATTTTTTAAAACAACTAGAATAGTTATATTAACACAAAGTAGGTGACACAGGCTGATACCAAGAGTTCAAAGCCAGGTAACATTATTTCAAAACAGAGGACAGGACTTATGGGAAGGTACAGAGCAAAGGAATTGAGGAGCAGGAATTCCAGATTAGAAGATGAGAGCTCCAACAAAGGCATAAGGCAGGAAATCACAGAACAGCCCAATGATAACACAGGAGGTGAGTGAGGATTAATGTTAAAAAGAACAGTGACCTGATGGAGCTTGAAGAAACCTCAGCAGTTATCAAATCCAAAGCCCTATTTGCAAATGTCGTGGCATACCCAAGGTCACTCAGTAAGTTTACGGCAGAGCCTAGTTAAGTATAGGTCCCCTAACTTCAGATTCTGGGCTCAGGACTCCGAGGTTGAGGTCAAAGGGGGTTAGATAATGGGGAGTCACTGAGAGTTTATGAGCAGGGGGCTGGGGAGGATCAGCATACTGCTTTTAGAAATTAAACCTAATAGTAATATGGAAACCCATTAAGAATAAAGACAGGAAACCAGATAGAAGGCTGCTGCTGCTGCTAAGTCACTTCAGTCATGTCCGACTCTGTGCGACCCCACAGACGGCAGCCCACCAGGCTCCCCCATCCCTGGGATTCTCCAGGCAAGAACACTGTAGTGGATTGCCATTTCCTTCTCCAGTGCATGAAAGTGAAAAGTGAAAGTGAAGCCGCTCAGTCGTGTCCAACTCCTAGTGACCCCATGGACTGCAGCCTATAAGGCTCCTCCATCCATGGGATTCTCCAGGCAAGAGTACTGGAGTGTGTTGCCATTGCTTTCTCCAGGTAGAAGGCAATTGCCACAAATTTGTCATCAGGTGTGTAGGACATTACTAGGGTGAAACAAAAGATAGAGAACAAGGGGTAAACTGAATAACCAGGAGGCTCCCTGAGTGATGAGATGACTAGGGTAAGATGAGATCATTAAGACAGAAAAGGGAATTCCAAGTAAGTCTTTGTCTGAGAGGAAATGATCCATATGCTTAATCAATATTAAAGTTAGTCACTCAGTCATGTCCGACTCTTTGTGACCCCATGGACTATAGCCCACCAGGCTCCTCTGTCCATGGAATTCTCCAGGCAAGAATACTGGAGTGAGTTGCCATTTCCTTCTCCAGGAGATCTTCCCACCTCAGGTATCGAACCCAGGTCTCCCACACTGCAGGCAGACTCTCTATTGACTGAGCCACCAGGGAAGTCCTATGCTTAACACAGAGGAGCACTTTAATCAATATTTAAACGAGTAAGTTGTGCTTATTCAAGTGAATAAGTTGTGTTTTTAATGTACTGAGTTTGAGCTAAAGACGGAAAAGGATCTTAATGAAGAAATAACCAAGGGACTTCCCTGGTGGTCCAGTGGTTACGACTTTAAGTTTCCACTGCAGGGGCATGGGTTTGATCCCTGGTCAGGGAACTAAGACCCGTGCATGCCGTACCACATAGCCAAAACAGAAATATATATATAATACATATAATATATATTATATATATATATATATATATATATATTCAGAGACCCAAGTATAAGGCTGGAGCTTGGGAGAAAAGTGAAGTGGGAAAGACGAGTTTAGAAATAGTTGGGGTAGATATTCTTGTGACTATAGCAGT